GCAGGGCCCCGCTCGGGGCCTCAGGCCGGGCCCAGAGTGGCCAGCACCCGAGGGAGTAGCCGCAGGAGGCAGGCAGAGAGGGGGCAGGAGACCTGAGCCTGGACGCTGGGAAAGCTCCCGGGTGCGGTGGCAGCAGACACAGCCCGCGGGCGACCTGCACCTCCTCTGCCAACAGCAGCAGTGAGGCGGGGGGGTGTTCCCCCACTGCCCCAAGTGGCCTCTTGAAGCCAGGAGCCCCCCGCTGGGCTCCAGTCCCTGCACCTGCCACCGGCGTCTCCAAGGGACGCGTTTGGGGGGCCCCACCCGGTGGCCCCCTCGCGGGTGCCCCCTCCCTCCTTGGAGGTCTAGCACCACTGTGTGGGGGGCTGACGGGAAAGGGGGCAGGTCACCGACACTGAGGTGCAGAGTCAGGGCCTGGAGGAGCTTGGGTGTTTCCACAAGCCGAGACCCTCAGAGTCTCCGAGGGGCCCCCAGGGAGTCCCACTGTGCCAGCCACACCCCTGCGAGGAGGAAGCTTGGGGGACCTCTGGCAGTCACCCTGGGGCTGAGACCCTGAGGGGCCACACTGGGGGCCTGGGCTGCAGTCCTGCTGTGTCCCTACAAGGAGGGAGGGGGCCCCCAACGTGTCCCTTGGAGACGCCGGTGGCAGGTGCAGGGACTGGAGCCTTCAAGAGGCCACTTGGGGCAGTGCCCCCCCCCACCTCACCGCTGCTCTTGGCGGAGGAGGTGCAGGTCGCCCGCGGGCTGTGCCCGCTGCCAGGCCCTCCACTGCCGCTCCCCGCCCAGGGCTTGGCTCTGGCTGTGTCTGGGGGATCGGGGTGGGGGCAGAAGTCCTCCTCCCTCCCAGCGCCTTGCAAGGGACACCACTGGCCCTGGGCTCTGCCCCTGCTGGAGGGAAGGTCAAGGGCTGGGGCGATGGTGGTGTGTGCCCCTTTTTAGCTGGGGTCCCGCTGAGGGGAGAGGCCTGGGCCCAGGTGCCCTGTGCGTTCAGCCCCGTGGGGGGAAGCGGGGTGTAGGGTGGCCGTCTGCTGCTGCCTGCTCGCGTGCCCTGCGTGAACGGGAAGCTGCCAAAGGCAGGATGTGGCGGCTGAAGCCGGGGACCACTGCCTGAATGTGGGGAGTCCCTTCTCTGTTGCCCAGGGGTTCCCCTGAGGGACCCCAGCTCCACGGGGCTCCCAGCATGCCTCCCAGGTACCGTCAGCCTGTGCTGACTGAGGGCCACAGAGTGCACAGGACAGGCGTGGCAGCGGGAGGGGACAGGGTCTGGGGGGTGCTCCAGGGACCCAGCTTTGCTGCTGCCGCTGGAAGGGCAGCCCCTCTGCCCGTCTTGCCCCTGTCTGTTGGGGGGTTCCTGCAGGGGACAGGTGGGATGTGACAGGCGCTTGGCAGAGGGGAGATGTCTCCCCAAGGTGCGGAGATGGGGTCTGAAGAGAAAGCTCCAGCGGCTCTGGGAGGGTCTGCGGGGCCCAATGCTCAGGGCACCCCAACGTCCTGCTCCTGTTCCCAGGTCCGGGGGCTCCACACACCTGGACCCGCTCACCTCTCCAAGGCACGTCCTCAACATCACATTCACGTGTGTTCACCGCCCAGGAGAAAATACGGAGGAAGCGCAGCAGGGTCCCGCCTTCCCGCGGGAGCCCTGGTCGGGCGTGTGGCTGTTCCCAAACGCGGAAAGAGCATCCAGCCCCCGCGAGTCCGGTGCGCGTCACGCACCTGACAAAACTTGGAGCAAGACGCAGCTGCAGGTGTTAGCTGCTGCTGGAAGGTCACGGCACAGGGTCTCCGCACCAGCCCCTGCCTGCAGGGGCAAGGGGCGGGCACCCCTCCTGGCAGACCGGTGAGCAGAGCAGCCCCCCAGAGGGCCCCCAGCCGCTTCAGGAAGGTGTGATGGGAGCGGAGACAAACACGCCGGCCCAGATTTGGGGCGGCTGTTTTCTGCAGGGACCCAGGAAAGCTGGCCTGTGGGTGCCCCAGGCTTCGGGAGGAGGCACCAGCTAGAAGGGTCAAGAGAAGGGTACCTGGGGTGGGAAGGCTCCTCCAGAAGCCAGGGTGCAGTGCCCAGCCGCTCGTGGGAGACCCTACAGCTGCGCGGGCCAGGGCCAGGGCGCCTTCCTGCAGAGGTGAAGTCCGTCCGCCCCTCCAGCCTTCGGGCCTCAGCTCCTGGGCGTCTCACAAGCGGCCCGGCAGCCAGCAGGAGACGGCCGACCGCAGCCTCGCCACACCTGTGAAGCAGCAGGTGCACGCTTGGCCTACGGGGGCGCCGGTTGGACGACGCTTGGAGGAGCCTGGGTGAGGAATAGAGGGGCCTGGGGGAGCCCTGGCCTGCAGGGGCCAAGGCGGACCCGGTGGGCCTGGAGGCCAGCGGCGCAGGAGTGCGCAAAGAGCGGGGTCCTGGGA